GGCAGAAAAATAATAATAATAATAATAATAATAATAATAATAATAAAAAACGGAACAGATACAATAGGGTTCCATGCTCCGATGGAGACATGGAAACGCTGCTGCTTTGCAGCTGCGTTACCCTGCTTCCTCGGGCTTGGACCCCTAATAATAATAATAATAATAATAATAATAATAAAAAACGGAACAGATACAATAGGGTTCCATGCTCCGATGGAGACATGGAAACGCTGCTGCTTTGCAGCTGCGTTACCCTGCTTCCTCGGGCTTGGACCCCTAATTAGCTTTCTTACTTTATATTACAGCAGCTTTTGTTTGAAAGACATTAGCTAAACAGAAGCCAAGCTATGCCACTCAGAGGGTTTCAGATTTTTTTCAACCTGTTATTAAATTTGGATAATACAAGTCTGGTTCTGTTGGGCCATTTACTTTCAAACAAAAACTAATATAAATCTTAAGAGCTCCTTGTTTTTTGGGAGATGATTTTATGTTCCTCAACTATTCTTAAAAATAACTTGGATTAAAAATAAGTGGCTTTTCACTTTCATAATAGGGGGATATGTAAAAAGTTGTGTTTGGACATCTTGTGTGACAAATGGAACTTGTTTTAATCTTAGTGCTGGAATTACTTTCCCAAATTAATAAAAAGGGCAAACGGGCCTAAACAGTCCAAGTAGGATCACAGGGTTAACTGTAATGAATTGTGAAATGTTGCAAAGCTACACTCTGCTCAAACACTCACCATGTTCTCCTGGTGAAGTCAGGACTCTCATTCAGATAGATGCAAAGTCTTTGGATGAGGGAGTCCCTTTGATCATCAGTATCACCCTTAAGTATTATAACAAAGAAAATAGACATATGTAAACTCAAAAATAAATTTAATCACTTCAGTGGAAAAAATAACAATATTATTTTCTTAATTTCTTCATCATCAGTGATTTTTAAGTAAAAAAAAATTGAAAAAGAGGGAAAAAACAAAGAGAAAATGTAATTAGAAAGATTGAAATAGAGATTAGAAATATATTAAGTATTCATCAAGAAAACACAGGGCCACACACCCAACATCTGTCTGCTCACCTAAAAATAAATGGATAAATAAATGGATGGCACACATACATTTATACACATACCCATACCTATAT